CCCCACCCCCGCGAAGAAACTGTCCATGAGAATGTTCCCTAAGGCGTGAACGTGAGTCTGTCCGCAGGGGCAGTCCTGAGGCTGTGGTTGAAGGGCAGGGGGCACGTCTGGGAAAGCGCACACAGACACCCCTGCTGGGCTCGCTCTTCCACTCTGCACAGACTCGCCTCTGGGCTTGGGCGGAGCCTCTGCTTCCAAGGACGATGAGTTTGAACCTATGGGTCTTCCTGCCGGGTCCCTGCTGAGCAAGTCACTCAGAGCACCTGGGCGTGCACGTGGGGCTGGGGAGGCGGGGAGGCGGGGAGGCAGGCAGGCTCCGTTCCCACCCACAGCAGCCCGTGGGCAGGGCAGAACTGCCCCTGTGCGTTTCTCAGATGGGAACTCTTTCCGGGAGCAGAAAGCCACGGAGAAGCTGGGGATTTCGCCCGGCCACCTTGCGGCTTAGCAGCCCGGCACGTGACCACTCGGTCCCCAAGGCTCCTTAGCATGTAGAAGAGGGGGACACAGACGCAGCCGTTTGTCACTGTCAACGCAGAACTCGAGTCAAGTCAGTTCTGAGCATCAAGCTGCAGTGCGTTCTGCCCGTCATCATGGGACGCTGCGTGTGGGACCACCTGGGACGTTTTAGCAACGGAAGCAGTCATCACACAGCCTCCTCTGAGAAAGGCCTTTTAGGTGCACATTAGCTTTTCTGTGGAATCCAAAGACTTATCCACTTATGGAGAAGCAGTTAGTCTAGAAAATTTCAATGACTGCCCTAGAGAACAGATGCGCGATTTAAATACGCTGGAAGTCCTTCTCCAGGCCACCGCATGGCTCTGCCACATGCAAATGCTCCTCGTTGCTGGGCCCGCACTCCGGTGATGATGTTACAATAAACAAGAACCTAGCCCGAGACACTCAAAGTCTCCCTCGAGCTTGGCTGCAGAAGCCCAGCAGCAGGGTGGCCACTGCCCAGGACACTGCGCATGCTCCGTGCTGCTTCCCAGGCAGCTCCTGGGGCGTTTGCAACCAACTGGTCTCTTTAGGCCCCTTCCAGCCTGAAGACTTGAGGTAGAAATGCAACCGTTTTCTTTCCGGTTTACGATTTCCGTGAAGACAGACCGTCTTTGGCCTCCAAGTTACAGATGGGAACAGGGGGATTTCATCGGCCTTGGGTCGGTCCATTTTGGAGGCTAGACCTATCTACCTAGATCTGGGTCATTCTCAGTCAGAATAGGCATTTGGCTGCCTTAGGAGTTGCCATTTTGTAACTTACTACACCCCAAGTTGTGAGAGTGGCCTTTTGTGAGTTAATGTTGCTTCATGGGAAGAGCTCTCTGGGAAACACTTTAAACCAAGGTCTCCGCTCATTCTCCTGGTGGAGGAAAGCCCAGGCGGCAGTGGCAACTGTGAGAAGCTCTGGGCCCCTAGCGACCCTGCCTGCCCTGCAGATAGCTTTCCAGGGACACCCAGCTCCTCAGCGAGCCTATCACACGCCGCACGTTCACAAGACCTACCAGCGGAATCATGCCTTTGGGTTAAGGCACTGTCTCCAGGAGGCTCCTGTAAACTTTAGCACCAAATGCCAGCAACTATTACCTAGGAGAGGGATGAGGACAGGCACATTACAATGAGGGTGGGAAAGAGAAGGCTGGGCAGTTGCTTGTGAAGGGTTTTCTGTCGACCACTGCCTGGTGACAGTGAGTCAGCTGGGAGCTCCTTGCATGTGGACTCCTCCTATCATCCCCGGAGAGGCTAGTGGGTCTAGGGTGGAACCGGAGGACCTACCCTACACATCGGGAAAATAAATAAATAAAAGTCACCAAATGATTCAGATGCTCCCAAGGGTTTAAGAGCAAGAGACCAGAACACAGGGGTTCTGTTTGGAGGGCAGACCTGTGATGGTGAAGTTTGCTGGGGCCCTCAGGCAGTATGGAGGGGCACCATTAAAGGTGTGGGAAGAAGAGGCTTGCTTTTGCGGGGCTGGGACCAGGTACTGCTCAGGGAGACCCTGTTTCTGGGTGTTCTTTAGGAGGGAGGCGCTGTCTCCCTGTTAGGCGCCCTGTGCTTCCTGAGGCATCCCTCAGCCTCATGCTACCGCACATCCTGGGAGCCCAGCACGTGGCGGACCAGCAGCACCTTCTTGAGTTGAAAGATGAATGAGTCTTTCCTTGAAGACCTCAGAATAGATGTTCTCTGTCCTCGTGATCTCAAACAACAGTTCGAGCCAACTGTGGTGGGTAAGGGTACTTGGGAGAAGCGAAACTTTCTGCAAGATGCTACACAGACAAAGGCCTTTGTCCCAAGTTCCTCTGTTTTGTTTTTACACCCTTAAGTTTTTTTTTTTTTTTAAGACAACAGTCTTAGCTGCTTGGCAGCGTGAAAACTGGCTGTGGGCTGCATCTGCCCAATGGGCTTCAGTGTTTCTATCCCGGGCTTGGGGTGTTTCTGAAGAATGGCTGCACTATACTATGACTGCACACCGCACATCTGGATTTCTGCCAGGCTGTGGCTGGATGACTCCATGAACATGATCTACTGTGTGACAGCAGACACTGGACTGAAACACTCCACGGTCCGTGTGGAAGGAGGCACCCTAGGGGCACCCTGCTGTTCTTCCACCAGGAGTCTTAGCAGGTGGGGAGGACTGGGTCATGGCATTTGCATGTGAAAAGATGTGCCACTGGAACTGTTGCCAGACTCCAGGGGAAAGAATCAGGAAGGGGCTTTCCTCTCTAGGGCTGGATGCTAAAGGGAGCCTTCGGGACAGCCTGACGTGCTAGCTAGGTGGCCACCTGGATCCACCTGTTGAGTGGCAGTGGGAGAAACACAACGAGAGACGGGCTGAATCTGGCCATCACACCTGGGATTCACAGGGGTTAGAGCCAGAGAGACCAGAGTGGGTTAGATGACCTGAAGCTGAAAGATGTATGCGGAACCTGAGCCTATGGCATGAGCTAGCCCAAGGGGGCTGAGGAGGCTGAGAATTTCTGAAGGGGCCCATGGTCAAGAGGCGAGGTGGCCAGTAGGCACCCTGGTGAGGCTAAGTGAGGCAGCCCATGCTGAGTTAACTAGAGCCTGACCAGATAAAGATTGATTGGTGTCACTGCTGACTTTCTGGATGGCTTTTCAGGATGTGACTTTGCTCATGGGTGCGAACACACACAGTTCCGAACGGAATGCAGTCTCCTCAGAGCACTGGGTCGATAGAAATGGGCGGTTCAGAGATGGGAAACTCAAAATGGGGGGTGGGGGAGGCGGGAAGCAGAGAAAGTGGTTGGCTTACAAACTTTCACAGGTAAGGAAAGATGTGGATAGGATTGCAGGATGAAGGTATAGGTGTTCATAGAGCTGCAATGTTAGGCATAGAATAGTTTTGTTTTGCTGTTCACGTATAGAAGATTATGTTTGAATGGGGCTAGCATATTTCTGGTTGTATGCATTTTAGTTTCATCCTGTTAGATACAAACATGATTTTATTGTTTTCGTTTATAAACTATGCATGGCTGGAGAGTTGGGGGAAGGAGTCGACTTGACAAGGGGTGGCCTGTGACAATGCTATGTCAACTTGATGGGGCAGAGAAGTGTAGGGGTGGGACCCAACCTGGCAATTAGGTCATGCCCTGATGGTGCCTCCTTGGGGGTGTGGCCTT